GCCTCCGCACTCTTAAAACGACAATTGAGATAAATCTATGCGAAGCATCTCGATCACCGTGTATAACCGCCAGGTCTAGCGCTGTTTCTGCTTTGATTACTGAGTAGTTAAGCGGAGGGATAGTTTGACTACTCACTTGAGCACAAGTTGTTAAAAATGGGGCATTCCGCAGGAAAAATGTTTTCTAGAGAAAGAGTGCTTAGAGCCACTTCGTTGGTGGGTAATTATATACTTGAGCTACGGTGGCGGCCTACGTCTCCTTCTGCCAGCTGGGAAGGGGTTCTTTTGCTCACCTGGGATATCGGGGGTTTGGCAATTTCTACTAACCCTAGTCGTGTGTGCAATCAGGTCGAACTACAGATCGAAAGCAGCAGGAGCACTTTCTCCAGTACCGGCTCTATCTCGGAAAGCCCTAGGGCGGAAATTGTGTAGGAAGTTAACCGGTGGGGGGAAAAGTATGCAAAACTGGGGATGAAGCCCTCCTGTGAGAGGTGGATAACTTAGTCAGATCGACATCGAATAGGCGATACTCTTTAGAGCATACCAGGCGCCTTAGAGTACCACACTCGCACCAACCCGAAGAGCACCATTCACGCCTTAACGGAATTGAGATCACGATGTAAATTTAAAGGGAAAAAAAGAAAAACTAAAAAAAGCCTATAGGAAGAACATAGAACAACTAACCCACAACCCCATGTGGGGGAAGCAGAAAAATGGGGGGCATAAGGCCACTAGGACATTCGAAGATCCGACACCAGCGACAGTAAACTCATTTTAATTGGCAGCACTTGTATTGTACATGAGGGTGGGTAGAAGCTGATTGGTCGAAAGTGCAAATGCTAGCGCAAGGACTTATGTCTCAGGATAGTTTTGACGGCTTGCAAGTGGTCACCTTGATTGTGCGGCACTTATCTCAGCCTGATACATATATTCGAATAACCTACGCAAGAGGAAAAGTGCAATTCGGTTTCTGGGATTGAGGTCAAATACTACCGTTTCCCCCCCTCAGTTCTTCCACCAAATTTTACGTGTCGGCTATCTAGCTTTTGCACCTTTAGCTCTTCATCATAACTTACAGTTACACCGAAAAGATGTAAGTCTCTATCTGCTTTTTTTTTAACACTTTAGGTCGGATGTTCCGGTGTCACACGACTGTCCGAGCCTCACGCTGGTTGGTTACGATGGACGGGGCAATCCAGTCAGATTACACCCAAGACTCGGCGGCCTCCCACTCTATCCAGTGGGGGATGGCTGGTATTCAGTCCTCGGCCCATGGAATGGTACCCACGACAATCCCGAGACCGCCCATGACGTAAGCGAGGTGAACCCCGAAAACAACACCAATATCCCGAGCGCTCCGGTGCACCCTCCGAGAAACGCTAGTCCCGGTCCCCTGAGAATCTTTTGCCAATACTACAAGTGCTCCGGCAACAGGTTAGCGATCCAAACCTACCCCATACTAAACTCTTACCCATCGTTGTTTTACCTAACTTTTACTGTTCAACTCTGGCAGTGGCCCTCACACCTGCGCCCCCGGCAGATTTACCTGCGAAGCCCAGAATTGCTCCTGGGATGGCACCTTCAAGACAAGACAAGCCTTGAACCGACACTGCCGTGCAACGCATGGCAACGATCGTGTGGATTGCCCGGTTGAAGGATGCCTGAAGGTTGGAGCTCGTGGGATCAAGCGTGCCGATAATCTCGCTGCTCACTTGTTGAATAAGCATGGTATTTCTGATGCTAGGGCAGCGTACGGGACCTAGATTTCCCGGTAGCAGGAGCATTGGCATCATCCAGGGGTATCGTTGCCTAGAGTTTGCCCGAGGATGGAATTGTCTTTCGCTCACAATTTCCTTTGTCTTTGCCAGTCATTTGCTATTTTACTTGATTCCGAGTTCATACCCCGCTCAATCACGGCAATCTTTCGTCTTTTTGTTACCTGACATCTTGTAGCTTCCAGCATCTGTCCGTCTACAGCAGATCATACGCCCGTTCCCTGTTTTCCACTCTTCATTACTCGCTTCTCTTTTTCTTTATCTTCCCCTAAGCCACCGCGCCCGGCTCCCCATTTCGTTTGCTCCTCCCTTCATTTCCCCTATGCGCCTAACTGTAGTCGTACGCTATACAATCAAGTTTCTCCTTTCATAAATTAGGCTCGGGTATTGATTCTCTTGATTGTGAAAGATTGAAGTAGCCATTTGTCTAGCACGCTTCAAGTTACATTCCATTGACGCCGCGCCGGTGCAATATCACCATCTTGTTGCTAGCGCCCTACTTATTTTTATTGCAAATCCCCGGTACTTGGGGTAATGCTCCTATCACGATTACCTATTGGGATTGCGGGGTAGCGAAGAAGTCCCTGAAGTTAGTATTGGTTTCGTATTTGTAATGCTTATGAGTTTTTTATTTATCAGCAGGATGGAAGGTTCTCGAGTTTCTCTGCAAAGTCCTGTATGATGGAGGTGGTGGACGTGCACAGTTCGTGGTAGGATCAGAGGTGAGGAGAAGTGTGTTGTTCTTTTCCACGAAAGGTGGCAAGCTATCTAATACATAGATGGAAGACACCACAAAAGGGTAAACCCTCATACCCATCTGTGCCTACAAGCACCACATACATGTATACCTCCACTGATACATTTCCCATACATGTCTCTGCATGTACCTATGCTCCCATGCTCTGCCACATCTATCCTCTCAACCATGGCAACACTCTACTATGGGGATTATAATACCATCACTGTAATGATGTACTAGTAAGTCTGCTCGGGAAACAAGGAAATATGTACCATGTGGGAATATGAAAGAGTATGATTGGTTGACAAAAGAGGGGTAAAAGAGAAGTTGAGAGATGTTCATGGAACCAGGAAGCAGGGTAAAAGAGGGGTTACCGGGAGTGTATTAGGAGACCGCAAGGAATTCTCTTTCATTGTCAATGTATATAAGGGCAGATGGTTATAGGAGAAGGAAGGAGAAAAAGCACGGCAGACATTGATACAGAACCGAATGCGAAACATTGAAATCGGTAAAGAACGAGGAGCTTTTACTGCGCCGAACGAGACACTATCGAGTACGATTCACAATAATTTTAAGTCCCCTTCTTTAATGAAATTAGGACAGAACACGAGAGATGGGTCAATAGAGATCCCATAGAACCATAGGTTCCCACGACAAAGGCTTGCTCAATCTGCTAGTGCTCGGACGCATTAGTAGAAGTCGGTAGATTATTTCTGCACTCATCCCATACAAGTGTCCACGGCGACAAGGGTTTTCGCTTTTCTGTAGTTAGGACACACCCAGGGACACTATAGTAATAACCTAACTGCTCCTCGGCGTTCTCCCTGATGATTCTGCGCCAACCCTCTTACTTGAGTAGGTTTACCAAATCCCGGGCAGACCGGACAGATAATCTCAGGCTTGGCCAACCGTGCAACTCTCAAAGGCTCTGGTATCAACCACTCAGATCCGCTAACTCTACCCCGGGATGTGTTAGCTCTATCGATGTTGAGATCTAGGGGAGGAATCCGTGGTTGTGGGTATCATTGGGGAGCGTTAGCTGGCAGGGTCGATAGCCGCACTAGAAGTCAGATAAGGTAACCCTTACCAAGATCGCCCGCTACCTCTTTTGTCTTCCTACCGGGATAGATGAATTCGATTCGGACCTTCGCTTGATATCTAGTGTCACACCACCAAAGGGAGATAAAAAGGTGATAAAAGCCCTCTCAATCTGATCCCAAGCCCCATAATACCCACGACACAAAAGTGCGATTTTATTGCGGTATGGTAGCTTACTTTACTAATTGATCCCCCCCAGAAAAATCTTGGCCCGGCACTGTATTGTACGATAGTGGGATCCATGAGCGTGTGGGTATGATAAGTTTCCCGTAGAGCAGAATAGGGGGTCGGCTGAGAAGGGCCGGCGAGTTACTATCCCTTCTACATATCATATCATACCTAGACAGGCCCTTAGGCCTCAGGACTGCGGTGGCTGTGCAGGGCATGGCTACCTATTATATCTGAGAGCGGCATAGCAACTATTAGGCCAATGGCGGAGAAAAATATTCGCTAATTGCCGTTGTTGTCACCTGCGAGTACCGGTAGTACTGCTTTTTATTAACCAATCAAGCATCATATCCATAAGTTAGCGAGCATTTTCGTCATTCTTTTTCTTTCTCCCCCTCTTTTAGGATACTCGTCGAACAGGGTTAGGGTTGGTGACACACCCAGTCTTGTTAGAGTTACGGGTAGATCTGAATGGCTAACACCGGTGAGGTCGGACAGCTAGCGCCACGGGTACGGGCGTTAGCAGCGATACCGGTACAATGTGGTGTCATTGCCAACTATCATACCTGGTACGAGTAATACTTGGGGGGGCTTACCCGTGCACCCCAGGCCCTTGTGCGTGGTTCATGCTAACCGGAGGTCACACGCAGCCAACACATTCCAGAATAAACCCTAGCCCACCCCCGGGCTTGAAAACCTGACTCCAAATCCCCAGCTCTCCTCTCCCACCGCCACAATCCCCACAGATAGCACTTCTGTCCCCCGTCACGCCAGCGGTGCTCTCCGCATTCAGTGCTGGTGAAGGCATGATGGACGCCGAATCCGGAATACCCGGCCACAAAGTCGCCTCAATCCCACGGCTGCGAGTAATACCTAGCTTGCTCCCTTGATCGGTAAAAATGGCCCTGCTGTGCAAACTACTATATCACGATCTCCGTCCATTGCATGAAACAAGCTTGCACATGCATTACCACTTCCTCCCCCGCCATCAGGCATAGGCTCCTATTTAAATTCGGCTCCGGGGACTGTTCCGGTCTCTCAATGCCGACTGACTAGATTTGCCCACATCCAGCATGCGCTAAGTATAAAAACCGTGAGCAACGCGCGGGAAACACAGTTGGTCACTGGAGAAATCCCCTCTGGATTCCTCCCCGCTGCGCGAATCCACCGGGATGTTCGCCAACACGTGAGTTCGCCATGTGGGACCTCGGCGTGGGCGGATAGCTAATATTTACTCGCCGCGGGATACGCTTGAGCCTCATCGCCATGTTTCCAAGGTGGGTTCTGCGCCACTGGTCGCTATTTCGTTGGGTTGCGAGGCGCCCTTCATGGCAGGGGTTGGGGAGGAGGAGGGGGTTAGGGTGAGGTGTGGGGACGTGGTCGTTATGAGGGCGAGGCGAGGTGGTTGTGGCGTTCTTCGCCTGCGTTTGCTTTTGGGACGTGCCCTTAACGGTTGCAGGAGTGGCTGAAGGAGAGGAGGGGCTGGATATGGGGAAAAGTGTTAATTTTGTTGTGAGGCAAATGTCCGGTTAGTGGCGAGGGGCAAGCCGTTTTTCCATTGAGCTGAATGGATGGTTATCTGGGCACACAATATGACTCTCGAGGCCGGTATTTCTCTCGAACCCGTCACTTGCTCCTTTCGCCCAAAGAGAACCTTCGCTCCAAGAGGCCCCCCGGGGCGCGATTCCAACTAGAAGCAGACTACCGCGCCTAGCCAGCCATCGCTTAGTCTCCGATCACCGTAGACCTGTTGCTAGCTTGAGGGCCCGGCCCCACGTTGGCAAAGGTATGATAGTCCTGTCCGGCCCCAGCTTGCACATACAATCCGCCGGTATAAATCTTTTAGCAGCACCGCACGAGAAGTCTCGGAATCCAACGCTTTTAAAACTAGTACAATTCCTTTGACTTCCTCGTAAAATATATTTAAATACAAGGTGATCCCATTATTTTTCCTTTCTCTCCTAGTGAAATATATAGTAATCTCCATTCGATTTGGCTCCATAGTTCACGGTCAGAACAAACCTCTTGAGGGGTTTACTCCCCAGGCTGCGGTGCTAGAATCCGCAGGGAGGAAGAGCGTTTCATATCTTCTCAAACAAGATGTAAGGCTCTTGAAATAGTAAATTTAGAGCTTGGAGTGGCTAAACGCCATTGCCGTGGCTGGGAGGACTGCGGTATTTAGCCTACGGTACCCTATAGTCTGCAATTTGTCAACTTTTACTCAGCGCCCGGCTACGGAATACTAGCACCAGCCTCCCAACCCCGACCAAACAAGAAGAACACCATGGGAACACGAACACTCTGAAATTCACTGTCCGGTGCACAATCGCAAAATGCCACTACTGGTCTCTTTGTACACGATGGCGGGTGGTGCAAATTCTCCAGAATATCTGTACATTCATCCATCGCACACTATTACGCCACCTGATGTGCACACCCAATTGTAGACTACCAACCTCAACTCCTAGGGAATTCGTTTGCGCGCCAGTCAGGCTTCCCTGGAGAATGGCCTTCGGGACAAAGCAGGTCTTCAGCCGATACCTCCGCGCGAGGTATCATGACAAACGCATGTAACTACCTATTTAGTATAGGGGTGCGTATGTTTTTGTGACCGGGAAAGCAAGCCGAGAGATAATTTGAGTGCCCACTTGTTGGAGTACGGGTTTTTCGAAATCGGGAATCTGGCGGGGAAAATGTCTGCTAGGGCAATTATGCGTCTGGTCCACGGCGTTGCTTAAGCTTGCTTGCAAGTGGGGAAGGGGTTTTTTGTTCACTGGGGATACCCGGGGCTTGGCGACCTGTGCTAGCCCTCGTCCTGCATGCATTCAGACGGAGGTACGATACGAGTTGAAAGCGGCAGAAGTATACTCCCTCGAGTACTAGGGCTATCCTGAAAAGTCTCAGGTGGGGGTTGTGCAGTCAGTGATAGAGTAAAACCCAGGATGAGGCCCTTCTGTGAGAGGGGGATACGATAGATGGATCAATATGGGATAGACAATTCTCTTCACCACAGACACAGCATTATAGAGTGCCGTACCGGAATCCAACAAAAAATGTGCCGTTTACCGCTTTGGCTCCATTGGCACCAAAAATTAATTTTCAAGGACAAGCAAAACCGAACAAATCACTGTGAGAAGAACCCAGAACACTTACCCCGCAACGCTACGCGGAGGGAGAGAAAGGATGGTCCGCTGGGCCATTAAGAAGCATGATACAAGCACCAACAGCAATAGCAAACTCCCTTGAGCTAGCGGTCATGAGGCAGAGTATCAGATGATTAGCCGAGAGCGCAAATGCCAACCCAAGGACCAATGTCTCAGGATCAGTTTTACAACCCGCAATTGGTCAGCTTGGTTGTGGGGCGCTTATTTCTCAGGCTCATACATCTATCCGAATAACCTATACATGAGCAAAAGTGCTATTCAATTTCGAAGGGCGAAGTCAAATACTACCGTTTCCCCCCTCCTTTCTTCCACCCAATTTTGCGTGTGTCTCTATCCAGCTTTTGCACTTTTAGCACATCACAATAACTTACAGTTACACGGAAACAATGTAAGTCTCGATTTGCTTTTTTTTTTGACACTCTACGACCAGGACCAATTACATAGCGGACCCCCCCCTCGAGCGATGCACCCTTCCACTGGTTGATTACGATGAATGCGGCAACCCACTCAGCTTACACCCAGGACTCAGCTGCCTCCCACTTTATCCGGTCGGGGATGGCTGGTATTCCGTTCTTGGCTCGTGGGATGGTACGCACGCCAATCTAGAGACCGCCAATGACGTAAGCGAGGTGAGCACCGAAAACAACATTGATATCTCCATCGCTCCGGTGGGCACTAAGAGGAACTCTTGTCCCTCCCCCCCGAGAATCGTCTGTCAATACCACAAGTGCTCCGGCAACAGGTTACAAATTCCCCTCTACATTACACTCTACTCGAGTACTTGTACCTGTTTCATGACACTAACATCTACTGTACCACTTCGGCAGAGGCCCGCACACTTGCTCCCCGGGAAGATTTACTTGCGGAGCCCCAGGTTGCACCTTCCCCGGAAGTTTCACGACAAAGCAAGCCCTCAACAGACATTACCTCGCAAAGCACGCCAATGACCGTGTGGATTGCCCGGTTGAAGGATGCGTGCACGTAGGCGATCGCGGGATTAAGCGTGCGGATAATCTTCCGGCTCACTTGTTGAATAAGCACTGTATTTCTGATGCTAGGGAGGCGTATGGGAATTAGGTTTGCCGGTAGCGGGATCATTGGCGTCACCCAGGGCTGTTGTTGCCTAGCATCTGCCCGAGAATAGAACTGCCTTTCGCTCATAATCTCCTTTGTATCCGCTAGTCATTTCTTATTTCCTATTTTTTCTACCTTTGATTCCGGGTTCATACACCGCTCAATCACAGTATTCGTTCGTCTCTCTATCGCCCGATATCTTGCAACTTCCAACATCTGTCAGTTTGCGGCAGATCACACGCCCATTTTGTGTTTTCCTCTCTTCGTTACTCGCTTCTCTTTTTCCTTATCACCCGAAAATCACTTCGCTCGTCCCCCCCTTCTCTTTGCTCCCCTCTCCATTTCCCCATGCGCCTAACTGTAGTCGTACACCATACAATCAAGTTTCTCTTTCATAAATTGTGCTCCCGTATTGATACTTTTTGTCGTTAAAGATTGAGGTATCATAGTAGTTTTTCTGGCATACCCCAAGCCGGATTCCGGTGACACTTACAAAATTCGGCGCGCGGGTCCAAAATCATCATGTTGTTTCTAGAACCTCGCTCATTTATGATGCCCTCTGTTTGGTCAAATCATGATAGGGCTTGAGAATTGGATCAATACGGACCCAAGAAAAGGTCTACCCGGCGGTAAACGAATCAAGATACCACTTACCTTACATAATGGTATGGGAAATACGCTACGTTAGCGACAATATGGTGACTGACTGTCTGGGAGTGAATATCTGGTGGGAGGGTAGTTTTGCTTACGCGAACACCATGAGCAGAGTGCCTGTCCAACATGACCATTAGAGAAGTTGAACCTAGGCGCCAATAGCAATAATGCCGTAGTATAAACAAAGAATAATATCAATATAGACATTCGGAATATCCCAAGATACCGGGGTAGTCACGTGAGAAATCAGAAATAATAGCCTCCGCCACAACCCCACGCGGCCGGTCAGCAGATCCGCTGGGATAAATTTTTTTCGCTGGAACCCTCCGTCGACGCCCCTAGTCGCGCCAAGGCGGCGGCATCGGGAGCGGGATTCTTAAAAAGGAGGAATTTTGCCTTCGTCACTCACATCTGGGCCCCCCAGTAGCCTCTCCAAACCCCATTCCCGCTAGACAGGAGCAGGTACGTCCCGGTGTGGAGTTCCTGGATTCGATCAGTTGATACTGTTGCTCGCTTGAATTCCGTGTACGCCGACTCAATTTTCCAGTGCCGGCCCCGTAACGTTATGCAAGGCTTCGGAAAATCCCCTGATGGCGAACTTTTGCAGTGGGTGGGGCTCTGTGTAACGGGGCAGGATTGGGACAACTGGGTAATGCAGCCGAGGTGTGGGAGCCTAGAGGCTAGGAGGGACAGTGGTACAAGGGGAACGGATTTTGGAAAGTCAAGCGCTCTCGTAGCACTGTCGATACCCTTGCTCGAGTGCTCCATCCCACGTGTTTTTTTTTCTCCGGCCCTTTGCCGAATACTATTCGCAGGGCGGGCAAACTACCAAAAAGGGCATCTTATAGCAATGCGCTAGTAGCGCCCAGGCTTATTTTCGCCGTCGATGATTCGCCGTGGCTCTCAAAAGCTCAGGCTCATGCATATATCACATCGCGATGTGTGAATAGTCGAAGTCAGAAGAAAGTGCAATTCGCCACGCTCTGAAAACTCAAAAAGGAGCCTTCCCCCCCCCCCCACCTAGTACCCAATTTTGGGTGTTGAACGCTGGTTATTGCACTTTTAGCTGCTCACATAACTGAACATTCCAAGGAAGAGATGTAGGCTTCTCGATTCTTTTTTTTTTAACACACCTAGGTCCTATTTTAGATTCAGAATATCTCCCTCCGCTCCTAATAGTCAGCCCATCGATTCCGACGAACTAGGCAACCCGCCCAGATTACACCCGCGACTCGATCATCTCCCGCTGCACCCGGACGGGGATGGATGGTATTCTGTTCTTGGCCCATCGATTGGCACCAGTGATAATCCCGCGACTGTCGATGTGGTAAAGGAAGCAAACCAAGAAAGCAACGCCACTATCCAGGGTTCCCCCGTGAACCCTTCAAGGAATTCCTGCCTTGATCTCCCGCGCATCTTCTGCCAATACCACAAGTGCACTGGCGCTAGGTTAGCAATCTCTCTCTATCATAAACTTTACTTCTATCCAATACATGACATTGACGGTTATTGCCCCGTTCCCTCAGCGGCCCTCACACTTGCGCCCCTGGCAGATTTACCTGCGAGGCTCCGAACTGTCCCTGGTCCAGGACCTTCAAGACGAAGCAAGCCTTCAACCGACACTACCACGTAATGCACGGCAATGACCGTGTGGATTGTCCGGTCGAAGGGTGTGAGAACGTTAGAGCTCGCGGGATTAAGCGGGCGGATAATCTCCCTGCCCACTTGCTGAACAAGCATGGTATTTCCAGTGCAAGGCCACCGTATGGGAATTAAGTTCGGCGGTGGTGGGACAATTAGTATCATCTGGGGTTGCAGTCGTCTTATGTGTTGGACTCAAGTGGGGAATAGTATTTCTTTCATAATTTCCTTTGCCTCACCTTTGACCTATCCTATTTCCTATCCATTTACCTCTCCATTCCGCACTCATGCACCGCTCGATGTATGCCTTATCATTTTTTTCTCGTCTCATATTTTGTATCCGCCACATCTATCTATTTTGTGGCAAAGTCGTGCACCCCTCTCTGGTTTTCTTTCTCCTTCACACAGCCTGGCCCTCCCCCATTTACCCCTCTCCGGAATTCCCAGCCTTCCCTCTCCTTGGCCCTCTTTTGCCCCCCCCTATACGCATGTAGCTGTTAGCGTTTAGTATACAATTAAGCTTCTATTCCCACAACTTCCGCACCCGTATTCATACTTCCGATCGTAAAGAATCGATAGCTGTTCGCCTGGAATATTGCCAGCCTAATTCTGCCGTTACTCATACCATGTAGTTCGCTGTGCCTACTCAAAACGAAGACCATTCCCGAACTTCCTTCATTTTAGGCACCGCTCGCAAAATCAAATTTCGATACCGGAAGGAATCTAGGGAAAGATTTCGTGGTTCTTTTCAAATGGAACAATGGTGGCGTGAGCTGAACCAAGCGACCCTTGGCCATCTGGGGGCAGCAGTAGGGGTACCAGTGGTACGGTCATAACCATTCTTATCTTGTTCCGCACTATATAGACAAATGGTAGGTGCGAGAGTATGTGGAGCGTAATAAAGCAACCCAACCCTTCTGTACATCATCACCACATGTATCCATTTTCCTAAATGCCTGCCCCCATTTACTTGTCTACTCCCGTGACAACTAAGGAATGACACGCGAAAAGGACCTCTCCGTAAATCACGAGACCTCTACAACAAATGACTTCGCCGACTACATTCCTATAACTTCCGCAAACAGAAATAAACTAGTTTCCCTTATCAATCCTGCGGAGTACGCATGCGAGAAAATGTACGCATGGCTGTAGAATCATCAGCAATACCGTTTATTTTACATTCAGGAAACAGTTTACTAGCAGCGGCACCGCAACAGGGTAACTCTTAGTCCAAGTCTTCTTCGACATATTGTAGGTGGCTGTGCTCCGAAGTGAGGCGAATTGAGAGTCGATGAAGCCTGTTATCCAACTTTGTCTACAACGCTGCCAACACTGCATCTCCTGTTCTCCGACGCCCTATCGCAGACCACATTGCCGGAAAACCTAAGCCAGCACGATATCTCGAGCACTCCGGTGCTTGCCGCGTTTTTGCCACTGACTAATGATTTCGCACACTACCTAATCCCTGATGATTTGTGCCACTAGGACCGAGAACTTGAGCGACAAGAGTCTAGAAGAAAGTAGCGGTTTTATGCCGCAACCGCTTGCTCCTAAAAATTCAGTTCTCATCTTTGTGACCAATCCTGGGATCGAACCCGGGGGATATAGGGCTCGAATTGTAGGTTTATTGGTGTATCATACCGTGCGATCCAATACGATGTCTTATACGGTAGGAGACCGTGGAGCAAAGCATCCCGATCACCCCATGTAATTTTCTCGTCTAGGAGCGAATACCCTTCGATATCCGGGGAATCAGGCCGAGAGAGAATTCGGCTACTCAATTGTTGGGGTACCGGTATGGATTGCCAAAATCTGGGGCCCAACGGGAGTGGGGTCCACAGAAGAATCGGACGCATCGCCCCTCTATCGGTGGACTATTATGTGCCTGGCCCCTGGGGGTGGTTTAAGTTTTCTTTTAGGTGCGCTAGTGGGAATAGGGTACCTGTGTTCATGGGAGAAATCTGGGGCTTTGAAACCCCTACCAGTGGTAGTTGTGTAGGCAGCCCGGGCATGAATTGAAAGCAATCCCTCCGGTACCAATTCTATCATGGAAAGTCCAGAATGGGAATAGTATAGGACGTTATGTGGCGAAAGTTAAGTGAAGCTGGGGGATGGGGCGACAGGGAATACTGAATACGGTAGGCATCTATAGGAGGAACCTAGAATACTTAACCTGAAACGTTATGCAGAGGGAGAAAAACTGAGGGCCATAACTCTGTTGGACCATTAAAAGGCTAGATACCGATAGCAACAACAAACAGTTGAGCTGGCGTCCTATGAGACTAAGTATGAAATGATTGGCCAAGAGTGCGAATGCGAGCACGACGGGATATGTCTCAGGATCGTTTTTACAACTCACAATTGGTCAGGTTGATTGTGCAACGCTCTTCTCTCAGGCTCCTGAATTTATTCGGATAACTTACGCCAGAGAGCAAAAGTGCAAGACAATTTCAAAGGGTGAAGTCAAATACTACCGCTTCCCCCCTCTTTTCTTCCGCCAAATTTTGCGCGTGTTGCTATCCAGCATTGCACTTTTAGCTCTTCACAATAACTTACGGTTACACCGAAAAGATGTGAGTCTCTCATGTGCTTTTTTTTTTTTAACGGTTTAGGCTGCATATAAAACTTGATGCGAATTCAAGTTCGCCGACAATTCCGCAGCTGCACACCTTTTCACTAGTTGATTACGATGAACGTGGCAACCCACTCAGCTTACACCCAGCGCTCGGCCGCCTACCACTCTATCCAGTCGGGGATGGCTGGTATTCAGTGCTTGGCCCAAGGAATTGTACCCACAACAATCTAGAGTTCGCGAATGATGTAGGCGAGGTGAACACGGAAAACAACTGGGATATCCCGAGTGGCGTGGGCACTCGGAGAAACTCGTGTCCCTCCCTCCCGAGCATCTTCTGTCAATACTACAAGTGCTCCGGCAACAGGTTGAAAATCCTCCTTTATATTACACTCTCCTTGCACCTAATTCATGACATTAATATTTCCTGTGCTATTCCCGCAGCGGTCCTCACACTTGCGCCCCGGGAATATTTACTTGCGAAGCAGCAGGTTGCACCTTACCTAGAAGCTTCACGACAAAGCAAGCCCTCAACAGGCACTACCTCGCGAGGCACGGCAATGACCGTATGGATTGCCCGGTTGAAGGATGCGTGCACGTCGGCGGTCGCGGGATTAAGCGTGCGGATAATCTTCCGGCTCACTTGTTGAATAAGCACGGTATTTCTGATGCTAGGGAAGCGTATGGGAATTAGGTTTGCCGGTAGCGGGATCGTTGGGATCGCTCAGGGCTGTCATTACCTAGTGTTCGCCTGAGAATGGAATTGTCTTTCGCTCATTATCTCCTTTGTCGCCGCCAGTCATTTCCTATTTTTTATTTGTTCCACACTTGATTCCGCGTCCATACCCCGCTCAATCACAGTATGTATTGTTACTTCATGTCTTGTAGCCTCCAAAATCTGTCGGTTTTCGGCAGATCTTATACCTGTTTCCAGTTTTTCTTGCTTCGTCACTCACTTCTCATTTTCTCTATCTTCCCAAAAACCACCATTCCCGGCTCCCCCTTTCCTTTACTTCTCCCTCCGTTCCCTCTATGCATCTAGCTGTAGTCGTACACCGTACAATCAAGTTCCTCCTTTCCAAAATTCAGTTCGTGTATTGATACTCTTGGTTGTTCAAGATTGAAGGAGCTATCTGTCTAGCATACTTCAAGTTGGGCTCTATTGACGCCTACATAATGAAATTAGGATGGAGCCCAAGAACTGGGTCAATACAAACCTAAGGGGTGTCTGCAGGGTGGTAAACAAATCAAGATAACAATTACCCTACATAATAGTATGGGAGATATGCTATGTCAGTGCCACTATGGGAACAGAGTGTCCCGCGGCGCAGATCCTATGGGACGATAGGTTCCTACCGCAAAGCCTTGCTCAATCTGATCGTGCTCGGATGTGTTAGTAAAATCAGCGGATTATTGCTACAGACTCTATACAGATATCCATGGGTGCCAGGGCTGTTTTCCTCCATTGGTATATCACCCCCGCGTGTGGCGATTACTCAACTCCTGTCCTATCTCCCTAGTAACTCTACATAATACCAACCAACCTAGAGTGGATTACCACAATCCCAAACAGATCGTCAGATCACAGGCTAAGCTAACCATGCAACTCTCAACGCCTTTGGTATTCAACATATCAATCCACTAATTCTACCGTAGGCTCCGGTGATGTTAATATCTATGGGAAGAGTGCTTGGCGAGGAGTATCTCTTGGTGGTGACGAACCTGGGAGCCAATAATACTAGTGCGCAATAAAGGATATCGGAGTTAATTGCGCCTTATCCCGCAGGGCTGCCAGATCCATGAGAAACCAGATAAAATAACCTACAAATATCGCGCCCGCCGCGGGTTTGTCTTTCTACCCAGGTAAATAAATTTGATTAAAAGCTTCGTTCGATATCTCGAGTGACACAAAACTGAGATGAAAAACAAAAACAAAAAAATCCAACCCAACCTAATTCTCTATAATATTTGCGGAAGAGCGATTTTGTTGTAATAGTCTGCTGATGAAGTGTATTCATCTCTTATCACTCCCTGGGCGGCATGGACGAGTTCATCAAATATTGTTCCCCCTAGATGGGGGGTGATACAGCCTGGGTGGAGTTGGTGGGTTTGGCGGGTTAGCTCTATTGCTAAAGAGAAGTACATACATGCCTATTTAAATTTAATTTTTTTTACAACGATTCCATGCCACTGCGCAAGGCTTGCGGATTTCCCTTTATGGGTAGCGTTGTTGGAAGGTAAGGTAGCGACTCTATGTGACGAAACAGGCTTGAGCGCTAGTTCAAGGCAGCTCGCGGACCAAGAGAAGTGGGAGAAGAAACCAGAAATGTCATTTTACGCAAACCTTCATTGTAGCGCTCCCCGTACAGTATGCTTGGTCAATTACTAGTAGTTTTCTCTCCAATATTTGAACCAAAGAGCAGGATAAACAATCTACCAATAATAGTATCGTACAGGAATGTTGGAGAGGCTAGGCTTATATTTATCATTGGTCAATGCTTCTGTACAGATCTCAAAAAACCCAGATTTTTGCAGGCATGGCATTATGATATGCATAACTGAAATCAGGATGAATTGTCGGAAGGAGGGAGAAAACGAATCGAGGGAGTGAGAGTAGAGAAGCTACTCTCTGCCCCCCTAATCTAGGTATGGTCTAGGAAGGCGTATTCCTTGCACCAGAGCCATTGCCGAAAACTTACACTGTGCACCGAGTGTGCTTGTCGGACAAGTTAGCATAGCTTGCTTGCCCCCAATCGGCCTCCAAGCAAGCCCATGCCTGGTACTGCATTGTACTTTGTACTCCCATCTTCGGGGATGATGGCTTGATAGGGTCTCCGTAGAGCGGAATAGGGATTTGGCTGGGAAGAGCCTGCTAGTTGTGGTTCCTACTACCCATAGAGGACCCAAGGCTTACAGATAGCGGTGGTTACGCAGGGCACGGCTGCCTATCTCAGAGACCGT